GGCATACGAGATTCTGACAGGTGACTGGAGTTCATACGTGTGCTCTTCCGATCTTATTATATATATATATATATATATATATATATATATATATATATATATATATATATATATCATACCTCTATTTATCATATTTATTATTATATTTATGAATTTTTTTATTATTATTGAGGTACCAAAAAACAAAAAAAAAATAGTTAGCAGGAGATTGGTTCGTAATTATGGTCATCTGAATCAAAGACGTAATCAGATCAAAAAAAAAATCAAAGACGTAATAATAGTACATTTACGTGGCAGCTAAGAAAGGAAAGGTGTCACACTCACGTGTCGCCACATACGTACGGTTTAGACACGTGGCTCTTAATTACGTGATTTGTTTAAACGTTTATTTTGGTTGTTTAATGCATAACTACTCGTGTTTCATGCACTAAACTCCAAAGACTCCATATATTAGCCACCAAACAGACCAACGATGTCGTTTAAATGTGTGCGAAACGTTTTTTCTTAAGGTCTGTTTGGTTAGCGAGAAGAAGATGATAAAAAATGAAAGATGTAAAAAGTGAAGTGAAAAAAAAGAAAGTGAAATAAAATATATTTTCATGCATGTATTTGGTTAACATAAAAAACTTCTAAGAAAATTTTAAAATAATCTCATTTCATTGTTTGAAAAAAAATTATCCTTAAGTATTTTAACTCGGTCTAAAGAAGAAAAACATATTTTTTATTATTGAAAATTTAAAAAAATTGGATCCTAACCTAATTTAGAAACAAAGATCGACTCAAACCTTAATATCTAGAACAAATTATATGATTAGCCTAATTTGTACATATTTTTTCAAAATTAATAAATAATTGAATATTTTAAGAAAATTAAGGGTAAAATAGGAAGTTAAATTATTGAATACAAGTTTCTTGTTATTTCTTGTATTTTTCGTAAGAAAAAAAAGTTAGTTAGATATGAGAACATTTATACATGAGAAAAAATTATTTTTTCTATCATTTTCTATTTCATGCTAAACAAACGTATGTAAAATTTTAAAATTTTCTCTTCTTTTTATTTTCTAACATTTTCTTGCTAAACAAACGGACCCAAAGAGTTCATCTCCTCCCACAAATTCCATCAGCTGAAAAAGTGCACTGTGTAAAAGTTTTTATTTGGATAAATTACGTTCAAGTCCCCCTCAACTATGACCCTTCACATTGTCCATCGAGTATTATTTTTTCACTTACATTTTAACTATGTAATTTGTTTCGAATTGTCTCAATTATTAACATCTAATGCAAAACTAACAACAAAGGTATTTCATTTTATTCTCTGAATTATGTAAAAGAAATTTACTTTGTCTCAACACGTTGGCAATTTCTGTCTAAAAAAATAGCAAACATTTGCGATTAGTGCGATATAAAATAATTCAAGTAATTTACGAGGCAATGTGAAAAATTCACTATTTCAAAGGGCAAAGTGAAACTGAGCCTATAATTTTGGGAAGCAGAGTGTAATTTTCCTTTCTAATTTCATTCCTTCTATTTGTTTAGAAAAAATTACAAAGAATGGAATATTGTTAAATATTAAAATTTTTTAATAATCATGTTGATTCGGAGTAAATAATGTGTCGCTCAATTGGGTATGCTTGTTTTTATTGTTTATAATATCACGTGTAATGTAAGTTTTTTTGTAGACTTAGCACATTGAATTTATTCTATGTAAGCTAGACCTGGATAATTTTTCTTATTAGAACCAATGATACTAACTTTATTAAAAAATAAAATTAAATAATATGAGGATTATATAGTAATTAAAATTTAAATTTTATCAGAGTGAAAATGGTATCAAAATAAACAACACTACAACGTATTATTCAATTCTTTTTGTATTGTTTTCCAATGTAACCTAACATTATCTCTGAAAATAGGAAAGAAAATTTATGAGAGAAGTGCAATGCCGAAACTGTCCAATACACTTCAAAAGTTTAAGAGATAATAGGGATAAATTGTAAATTTAGATATTTTAAATTTAAATTTGGATAATTTTTTAAAATTAGACTATAAAAAAATTATATTTTAAAAATATTTTAATTAAAAANTCTCTCTCTCTCTCTCTGTCTAATACTTATTTAACCATCATAATATCAAAGATCAAGAAGAAGAAGAAGACCCATTAGTAGGAACAACATGAGCACTAACACTGTCACTGCTGTGGAGGTGGGGATTTAGGTTTTGATGGTGGTTGTCGTCCTTGTCATCATTTTGGTGGTGGTAGTGGGTTGCATTGGTGGTGGTGGTTTCAAGAGTACTGTTCGTACTAACAAAACCAATACCAATATCATTACCATTACCATTGTTGTCGTTGATGTTGGTAGCATTCTCTCTCTTGCCAAAAGTGTTCTTATTGTTATGCATCCAAACCTTGAACACGCCTTTGTCCACACCAACTCCGCTGCAGAATTCATTGATCAAGTCCTCGTCCCTCTTCTGCATCTTCCACCCGAGTCTATCCGCGAATTCCAACATTTTTTCCTTCTGATCTGGAGTGAATTTGGTTCTGAATCGTTTCCGAGCACTAGGGCTTGCAATTACACCACCTGTAGTGGCGGCCGTGCTTGCAATTGTTTGATTGTTGTCCAGTGGTGGACCCGATAAGCCGGCGCTGAGTGCAAGGAGCATATGGGGAGCTGAAGGGTAGTAGGAAGAGGAGATCGGTGGTGGGGATGGTGAGTTTGGGCTGCTGCCACGTGGAGGAGGTTGTGGTGGCGGAGGATGGTGGCGGTGGTGCGGTTGGTACTCGATGGTGGGGATATTGGGTGGTGTGAGAGCCTCTTCTGGGTCACGGCGATGGAAGTTGCGGTGGCAGCCACAGGCGGCGCATTTTAGCGAGGTGGGGTCTGTGGGGGTGGCGGTTGGAGAGGGCATGAATTCTCCACAGCCGTCCACCGCGTGACCACCCAAGCTGGCTGCGTGGTTCTTGAGACATTCTCTATAAGTGACCACCAACGGTGGGTTGTGGCGGAAGCGTTGGTGGCGCTTGAGGACGCCGTTGGAGAAGTATAAGGGCTTACTGGTTTGGATCCGAGTTGGGGTTTCACTTTCAACTTCTGGGGTTTTGATAGCGGCGGTGGTTGTGTTGGTGGCTATGGCAGTGGCTGTTAAGTCCATGGCTGAAACATCTAGGGTTAAGAACATAGACTTTTAAGAGTATATGATTAGATTAGAGGTTAGGGTTTTGAGCAAAACAGATATATCTTTGTCCATACAAAGAGAAAAAAAAAATGAAGCTTATAGAGAGTGGAGAGAGAAAGGAAGGTTGTTTGTGGGGGATGATGATGATGAAGCTGCAGTGATGAGTGAAGATAATAAAAATCTGAGGGGGGTTTTGTGGTTGTCCTTCTTAACCCACTTGGTTTTTTTAACCTGAGTTCTAATCTCTGGTTACCTTTCTGACCCCACTTGGGTTTAGCCTTTAGGTGTTGGGTCATGTGTGTATTAAATACACATATTATTTACACTTCACATTAATCTCGGTTCAGACTCGGCCGAGTCAACATCCGAGTTGATCTCCTGGTGGGCTTTTGTCAGAGCTTTTTAAGATGAATTTTGACTCAGAAGCACCTGGAAGTTCAACCTAATTGACATATAATTGATGACCCAAGTTGCTTTTTTTTTGAGACAAAGTCCAAATTAAAAGTCCAATGATGCGGCTAGTCCATTAATTTGAGCCTAATTTGGCCAACAAAGACTCATTCTAATCTCAAAACTCATTTGGTACTATGTAAGGTGGTTAAAGTAGCCAAATCACTAAACAGGAAAGGACTGTTACCAACATGATTGAGGTTGTATTAACATTCCAAAATTCATCATGCATCCCTGTTTGTGTTTTTTTTTGGCTCTTTTCCATCCTCTAATTAACCACTTTCAAATCCATACATTATCTAATGATAAAAATAAAGAACAATGAATAAATTTGTTACATTCGAAGAATGTCACCTCTCTTTCTTAGTCCATCTAATTTAATGCTTGCGATTCAAGTAAACTTGTCCTTAATGTTGCCTTAAGGCTTAAGTTGTGTCTCTGAGATTTAACTAAAACACTTAATTTATCGGTGGTGATTATAAGTAACTGATGTTTATTCTAAGCGGAGGAATGAGTTCAAAGTGAGATTTTTCTCTCACGACTAGGTTAGTACCGAGTTAACCTGGTGGTTGCTTGCTTCATTGTGACTTTACCCCTTTGATTGTCAACTGTAGCAGGACCTGCAGGTCTGAGCCATTTACTGCACCCACCTTCATTTGTCAAAGTTGCCAGCAAGGAGGCCCTGTACCGCTTTATTACTCAACCTTACCATCATTTCTAGGCACCACCCCTTTACACAGACTAATTAACACCCAACCCCCCGAAACAAAATTCCTGCAACAGGGATTAGTCAGGGGTTTAACGGCTTTATTTCTCTTCTTTCCCTTTTATTAATAAAAAATAGACAGACTTAGTTAATTTTTTTTATCTAATGTGTGACAATTAGCGTATGTGATGTTTGTTGGCAGTTGTTTGAATATAGGGTGTAATAGATATATTTTTTTAATTATTATTCATTTTCAACATATTATGGTTGACGCGATATTAATATTAGTTTAAGTAAATTTATTTTTGAAAAGAGTAATGGGTACATTTAGAGATCTCGTGATCTCATCAATAAAGGTCTATCGGAGCGATCTCTGAACGCTTGTACAATATTTCATAAGAAACTATGTAAAAATATTTTTTTCGTTTGCTAAATTTATCCGTTAATCATATTATTTATGTTTAACTTTATTTTGACTTATTTATCAAGGGTGGGATTATTTTCACCCCAAAAATATCTATTTCTATGCTCATTTAATTTTTTATTATCAAAATTTTTAAGTCTATCCCTTTTATACCCACTTCATTAATAATTAAGTTCATCCCATACTATAAAACACCTCTTTGATAAGTAATAAAAGTAAACAAGAAAGAAACAAATCTATCATCAAAAAAATAAAAAATAAAACAAAATTTCTAAATCACAAGACTAATTCACCAACGATACAAGCTTATCAAAGGAAACAAATTTTTTTATTGAAATAGTCTTTGTTGCCACTTTTAAAAATACTCTGCATGTTTATACACACAAATAAACTCTGAATAAAAAATTATTAAATTTGACGGAGATACTAAAACACAACAAAAATAATGAAAATCTACACAAGAAGCATAAAATCAAACATAAAATTAAATCGAGAAATTATACTAATTTATATCTCATTAAACCATCTCCAATGAATACCTGAACCTTTACCCAAATTTGAGTGAAAAAAAAAAGATTAAAAAACTTAATTTGGTATAGACTTATTTAATTGAGAAACCCAAATTTAAATGAGAACGATTTCAAATTTAAAAAAGGATAAATATGATCATTGGATCTTTAAAGAAGAGTACAATCTTACCATTGGTAAAAAAAATAGTAAGGATTTTAGTCTCATTTGATTTGAGTTTTAAAAAAAGGTTTTCTTTTATTTGGTATAGATATGATTTTAACATTGGAGAAAATTTTTAAGAGGTTTAACCCTTTTTTTTTAAAAAGGTACAAAAAAAAGGTGAGGGCAGAAAATGCTCTTAGAGACATACATATTAAAAAAAAAATGGTCTTGTAAGTGTATGAGATGAGATAATAAATGAAAGTCTAATTATAATAAGATATAAGATCGATATATAGAAGAGTCGGGTTAGTAATTTGATAATGAAAATTTAAATAAATTGAGAATAAATATTTGTGAGCTGTGAATAATCTCATCATTTTATCAATCGTATTAGTTAATAATATTAAATTTTGTATTAAAATCAGATTTGTGACAAGTGTCAACAGGTAAAATTAGGCCAAGATGACAATAAATCATGGATTGACCCTTTAATAATTATGGGGACTTGACAATGGAATCAAAAAAAAAAAAAATA